TTCATGCCACCTAGTTGCTGCATGTTAGCGCTGCTATATCGCAATCGTTCCGTGAGACTCACCTCTCGACGACCTGGGGCGCAGGACAATATTGCAGATCCACGAATATGCCGTTGACGGACAGTTCGAGCATGGTGCCGGTGCTGGCCTCAACCTTCCGCAAGATCCTGACACCTTTAGCTTCTGCTTTGGCGAGTCGTTGCCGAGCGAGCCGGAAGAAGGTCTTAGAGCTAATGGTGCCAATACAAAGGCAGTCGATGTCCGAGTCTGCAGTCCATACACCCAGCGCGTACGAACCAACTGGCACTATAACCAATGGTATATCGGGTTGCGCTGGATCTCCATCGTCTGATGTACCTAGTAGTATGTGCTGGAGGCTTGCAAGTGCGTCGTGCCGACTGCTCGCTTGATCTTCGTTCGGGAACATGCCGTGGGTCTCGAGCACGGAAACGAGGCTCGTAGTCTCTGCCAAGGTTCCATCCACTCGCTTGTATTCAACGGCAGGCTGATTTGAGGAGGCTGCTTCGCTTCCGGTGCTCGCTACCGCTTCGTTGACCTTGATCTTCGTTCTCACTCCATAATGGTCACTAGCTGCGACCTGCACACCGTCGATCATCTCCGGAACGCCGAAATGGTTGAAGCGATCTATGCGAAGTGAATCCTGCGACCGAAACAGTATCCTATCGTAGCGCTGCGGCCGATCGTGAGAAGTCGTAGTCGTTCCTGCGGCAAGTCGGTTATTCTGGGGATCGAATGTCGCACCCTCTTCGCCCTCGAACAGATCTCCGGATGTAGTTGTACTTGTTTCGTCCACTCCTTCCACACGGGCAACAGACCAGGCATCAGATAACCCAGCTTCCCGAATCTCGGCCTCAACTGTTGCTAATAGGGATACAGTCTCGCTGGATATGGACTGGTCCTTGACGGAGGTCTCAATGGTGTACGTCGACGTAACGAGGTTGAAGTCTCCAGCAATGACCCATGGCTCGCTTCCGTAGTGCCTCTTTAGGTATCGCGTCAGAGTTCCCATCTGAGCTTTCTTAGTAGCGACTGAGCCATCAGTAAGACCAGCAGTCAAATGAACTCCAGCGACAACTAAGCTTCCCAAGCCCCTAGTGCCAGATGCCGTGACGCCTCTCAATTGCGCAACGAGAGCACTCTTGTGTTTGCGATGGAAGGGTACTGAATGCCAGCTAAAAGGATAGCGGCTCAGGATGACGACGTTCCGTAGACTGGGAAGAGGACCTAGATCGTTTTGGCATGGCGGACCATGCGAAACAAATGGGTATATGTGTGCAATGTCCTGACGAGTGAAGAGTAGATAGTCAAGAAAGTCGTCGGAGACTTCTTGCAGTACTAACATGTCGGCCGTCGCTTGTTCGGATAGAATGGTGTCCACTATCAACGGGTCGCGGTCATGGTCCGGCGGATACTCGGTGTCTACCAGGACATTGTAACTCGAAACAGTGATTTCCTTCACTTCAGCCTCGTTCTGGTTCTCGCATGTGTGCGGCGACCATCTGGATTCGTTGGGATCGAAGCAGAGAGCTGGCACATCGCGCACCTCGTAATCATCAAGTAAGGATTCTTGCTGAGTTTCATCACCATCTGGTCGGGGTGCGGCCGGATTCGAGGTGGGCAGCTTCACCCAGTAGTCTGGAATGTGAGGTCTCCAAACATCGCATGGGGAACCAATATCGATAGTTCCATACAACCGCATGTAATCAGTTGACAGCGCGCCAGTCGTCCTCTCACGAATAAGGATAGCGAGCGTGCCGACGCGGAAGTGTATGTTTGGTAATCTTTGAGCCTTTCGAAGGAGGTATGACTGCGAGAGTAGAGGATTACCCTGTGTTTGACCGATAGTGAGGTGGGGAGTAAATCGAGAAGGACCTTGGCCTAATGCTTGCAGTACAGTCGTACGCAGGGATACGAGAGGCGAGTCTTCCTCACCACGGTCATCGGTACCAAGAAATACGGTGAAGTTGTTCTTTTGCACGAAACCACCCGCTTGAGCCAGTTCTACATCGATGGGTGTCTCTTGGGTTGGATGCTGTGCCAAGTGCCCTTGAATCTGCTCCTGTGCTTTTGGAAGCTGCTCTGGTGCAACGAAAGGGTATACGAGGTTGACGTGAGGTGGCCACTAAAGATTTTAAAGACCCTAGTCAATGTGTGCTTTCTCTGAATCCAGGACGTATCTAACTCACTTTCCCATAGGCCTTATCGTAGAGTTCCCGCAGCTGATCTACGTGACTGCATTGAGAAGCGGGCGGGATGATGCACAACGCTGTATCGTATGAAGTCGTTGACATCCGCGCTGGAGGAGAAGTAGAGTCGGTAGTCGCCATGTTTAAAAGTAGAACGAGATGTAGACAAGGCGGATGAAAGGGGTATGTCGAGTGTGTCAGAAAGGACTCTGGTGTCTAATGATTCTGATCTCTTGTATGTGTACAGCGATCTTTATGTCTTGTACAAGAGACACGCTCAAACACTTTACTCCACTCCGTGATTCAGCATGCTTCCCAATCAGGCGATACATATGACTCCGGGGGCTGTTGAGCCTCATGCACGAGGCGCAGGCAGAGTGAGCAAAAGTGAGTCATTCGCGCTAACCAAAACGAAGCGGTCTCTGGCTTCAGGGCTGGGTGCGATGCTGCGTGAACGCGCCCAGTCGAACCTGTAATGCGATGATATGTGTAACAGCATTGAGCGCACCGCAATGTGACTCAAACAAAGTCGGGCCTGTTCCTCATGCAATGGCGAGATGATGGCTGTGCGGGAGAGCTTCCATCGGTCCGAGGCTCAAGTGGGGTCAACCGCGCCTGCGCCTCAGAGCTGCGGGACCTACCTGGGCAGGCATCGTGAACAAACCATCCAACCTTCCCTCACGCAACAGCAAGCAGCTATGGTCGGCTTTCTAGATCTACCGAGCGAATTGGTCTTCAACATCATCGACCTTGTGCTCTCGTCACCTACTGGTTTACCGAAGAATGGCACGCGTCATCGGCCCAGCTATCCAACTGGCGTACGCAATCTTTGGTATGTACCGAGCCTGGATTATCTAAAGGATTCAGGAGTTTCAAGCCTTCTACTAGTCAGTCAACGAATGTATCGCGAGACCAAAGAATATCTCTCAAAAGCGCCGCGGAACTTCGAGGTCGATATCGCAGTTATTGATGACCACTGGTTCTGGCCGACACGGCGCGTTATTCCCGCGCGCGTGCTTGAAGGAACCATCGAGAGATTAGACATCAACATAATCCCGTGCTGTACCACGGATGAACGGCATCTGCAGACGGACTGGGCTCACGAAAGCCGGGGTCCAGTTGACTTGTCCATTTTCTGGCTGCTTCTCGCCGGAGGACTGTTGTTCCCGCTGGCTCGCTTCTTGATCGATGATAATCCGAAAAGGCATGGATCGCAAGTTTTCCGGGGTTTAGAAACATGGGTCGACCACTTGTGGAACGAGCACTTGGATGATGGCCGGAACATACCTGTTACTCAGATTGATATTGTGACTATCAGCATTGATACGCGGAGGTATGGAAACGGCAACAAAGAGATCGGTCTTGCAGAAATACCTTTCCGTAAGATTGAAGGTCTGGCACATCTGGATTTTAAGGAGCTATACCCAGTGGACTTCGCCAAGTCAGAAACTTACCTTCGCGAATTGATCAGATACATCGATGAGCGACTCTATGCTACGGGAAAAGTAGCCAAAAAGATCGGAAAGATACAATTTTCTCTTGATGGAAAGTTGTCAAGAGAATTGAATACAGTGGTATGACATAACGGCCAAGCCGTACCGCAAGGCGGCACTAGGTGGAGTTCACAATCCCTCCTGGATGCAAACACGAGCAATGCCTAGCCTATCAGATCAACCCAACTAGTTCATCTTCGACATCGTGGTTACGGCCTGTTCACCCGACACATTACTATTTCTCGGCATACAAAGCCGCATCCAGATGGTGATGACTTTCATGGGAAACAGCCATTCTTACTTCGGTTCAAACATCATCCAGGACCGGAGCGACCGAGGAGTGGATTTTGAAGAACTGGCACAGACTGGTCTGAGGTCGCCAACAACGAACATGACCGGAAGATGGAGCTAGGATGCGTACCAAATGTTTGACGGTATCAGGCGCAAGGCTTGACTCGCCATCGGAACAGCACCAAGCGATGCAGTGTTGGCATTTGGATCCGAATGCGAGTAGCGCTCAACAAGTTTGACAGGGCGAGCATGCAGAAGTTCGTCGCACAACCGCTTCTGGACGCATGGGCGTATGAATCAAGGAGCGTATTCTGTTCACCCTATGCTCGCGCAATCTGGTTTTCGTGAGGAAATCGGTTAACGGAACCTTAGCTTGCCTATAGCTTGAAGCCGCAGAAACAAGCTTCACCGCGATCGCCTCTAAAAAGCAAGCGCCCAAGGGTGGGGCTCGTCATTCTACGATGATCTACTCCAGCATCGAGCGATTCGGCAGCCACGACGGATGTGCTATTGGAGATCGGCAAGGCTGTGACGCGCACTGAACTGGTTTCCCATGCATGGCATTTCCAAATCACATTCAAGAAAAAGCATGGAGTTTTTCAGTGACGTACTTGCCTTCAACAGGTTAGTACCGCGTTAGCGGTGTCACGTGCACTGGTTCTCAGCCACCAATCACGCCTGTATTGTGGCTTGTCGTTCGAAGCCATCCAATCTCATGACGCGCCGAGAAAGCGCAAAGCCAACATGTCACTGCCGTGCATCAAGCCTAAGCAAAATCTCCGCGGTTCCAGGTTTAATTTGGATGCGGGGGGCTGGTACCGAAGCTGACGGTGACGGTGAGTGACGATTGTGTCAAACGGGCAAGAGGGGTCCTGGTCTTCGTGTCACGTCGCTCTCACCCCATCCTCAGAGATATAAGATAATACATCTTCACGCTGCCTCCATCTCCAACATTCAGCAGACTCACCAATCCATCAATACCATCAACGTCAACACCCAGCATATCACCATGGTGCACACCCAGCAGCCATTGGACGCGCCGGTCGACTACCCAGTCACCGACAAGCGCGATCAAACAGGTCTTCTTACGCGTGAGTAGCTACCCATTAACTAGATGTGAGACAAATACTGACTACATACACTCATCTTTAGGCTTTGTGCCGGACAAGCTCAAGAACACATCCTTCTACCGTTGGTTCTTACGTTTCACACGCCTCCTACAATTCATCAGCTCCGTGGTCTCGCTTGGCATCTTTTCCCAGCGCTTATATAAGGTGTACCGCCTTGTCAACAGCGTCAAGACATACCGCGGCGTCAACGGTAGCTATGGTGCAGTCGAGGGCATCCTCGCCGCCGCCGTTCTGTATACCTTGATCACGATCCTACTTTCTTGCATCAAGAAGTCAGCGAACCCTGGCGGTCGAGCACTCCGATGGATCTGGGTACTTCTCGACCTTGCATTTGTCGGAGGATTCATCGCTGTTGCTGTGCTCACGCGTCCGAACGGAGGTCTTGCTGGTGCCCGTCACTGCTACAGCCCGGAGCGCATTGCTAACGGCAATACCGGTGGGGTTGTCACTGGCGAGACTGCGAGCCGTGATGACAGCTGTAATCTGCCGTGGGGCACCTTTATTTTGGCCATCGTTTCCACGTAAGTTCTCATTGCCCAGAATCCCAGAGTTACCTGCTAACTGTCTGCCAGGCTTCTCCATGCCATCACCGCCTCCTTCCACGAGATTAGGGACCATCGCCGAAAGAACAGGCTCGAACACGAGAAGGCCGTTCAGCCACACACCGAGGCTCCAGCAGATGGCGTCCGCTACTAAATGCGTAGTCCGATCGGCGTTCTGTCAACGAGCAAGGCATGGAGTCTGTGAAGTACGGTGTAGGCGTGTCGCAGACATCCCCGCCATCCAAAGCCCCACGAACAACATACACGTATACCCATGGTGCATTCGCCCTGTGGCTGATGCATTATATTCTCACGAGTTTTCTCTTTAGCGAATGGCGCAATTGAGTCGGAGTTTCTGTAGCACTGAGCGAAATATTTCTGCGTTCAACTAATTCAACACTTCCCGTATGTTTCTGTTCAAAGGTGTCTCTCCGATTGTGATGGCAATCCCCGAAGTAACAACTGTGTTCATCAAAGAGTTCGCGTTCTGTAATCGTGGACCTTGTGATGATGTCTGAGGTAAGTTTGGCGTCTTGTTTGGTGTCACCAGCGGGGACAGGCGTAGTGATGAGAGTAGGCTGATCCTCTTCACCGCCAAGTTCGCTATGGCCATTACTGTCAAGACTGGCTTGTCCCTCTGGGTCTTGGTTCCGATCTCGTTGGTCTGGTGGCGCGGAAGGGGCGAAGAGAGAGCGTCAGGCTGCGGCGGGAGCGGGCTCAGATGTGCTTGTAGAATCGGCTGTGGCGGGGAGCCCAGCTGCGCCCACACCTGCGCGTGCGGATTGTAAGGTGGATGGGCCTTGAGGCTGTTCGTTTGCTGTGTCTTGTTCGCGGTTAAGCAAGCCAATGCAAGGGTCGAGAACGAGGTAGTACGACATGTCATTGAGCCCGATATACAAGCCTACGCTCACGGTCATTCATATTACATGACATTGCATTGTTCCCCTCTTCTATGCTGCGCCAGACTCCCATGATGGGATCTTAATAGCACCCCTCTTTCTTCTTCCCTCACTAGCAAAATCCCATTACTTCCCCGTACTCCAAACCCCGCCCTTGCGAACGGCTTGGCGTTGTGACTTGACTATATCCTGGCTTGGTCGTCTTGGTGGCTCCCATACCCCAGCGCTCGAGTTCTTCTTGACTTTCCGTCCACTCATCCTCACTTGCTCGTGGGGTGAAGATGATGGGTTTCGGCCTCTTCTGTAGCAGCATAGGTGTACCAAGGTCGGTATGTGAGTAGAGTGCCTGTCGTTGCGCGCGACAATGACCGATGGTGAGGTTGTGTCGGTCCGGTGTCAGCATGGTAGCGGCGGTTGTGCTGGGTGCAGCCATTGGGTAATCGAAAGTTGACGACTAGATTGGTTGCTGGCTAACGCCGATGAAGCTTAAGATGCGAGGGCGACTTGTAGGTTGCAGTGATGATTTGGATGTTGGTGTTGTTGTGAGCGTATTCTCGTGGAGAAGCTCCGACTTTATACCACACTGCAAATGATCAGCGCAACGTGTCGATAGGGTATCACGCAGCAGCCTTGATAAATGAGAAGCTTCGATGTAGTTCTGTATATTGTGCTACGTGGCTAGCGCTATCATGCTGTATTGTCGAAGCTTAACGTGATAATGGTGGTGAGACCAAAAAGTGGCGCCACCTGTTTGGGCAACCTCCGAGTAGAAGCCGATGGAAATGCTTGGCCGCAACGAATCAAGTGCAATCTGAGTTGTGAATACATAGATACGTAGAGCTTCGAAGGGAGCTAGATATAGATAGAGTATGGTTTAGTTGAGGATGTAGAACGAAACGCGTGCCGATTGAGCGCAATGGATGGGTATTCTAGAAACAAGCAAATGCGTCGCTGAAAGTCATCGTCGCTCCAAAGGAAAAAAAGTCTTCCTACACATGCTTTAGTCAATGCGCGAAGATTCCGAGACAGGTGGTGAAGGAGGAGGGTGCGAGGTGTCTAGGTACCGGCGCTTCGCTTCCGGGAGATCATCTGCATCTTCATTTGTGCGCTTCTGTGACACACCCACCGAGCCAGTCTTCCGAATCAGCGGGGAGCCTCTCGTCTTCTTTTTCTTCTCAACAATTCTCCTCCATTGTGCTATGGCGCGAGAGCTCAACGTTACACGCTCAAAGTCCGTCGTGGGTGGAGCAAGCTCGATGTTTACCCAATCGACTCTTCTCAGACCTACTAACGCCTTATTGCCGAAGGCTTTGGCCAGATTCTTGGTCATGAAGTCAATCTGTTCTGGGCTCAGTGACGAGTCCCGTAGACCGAACCGCAGTGTCAGGTAGCCTTTTGGCTTGGGCCGCCAGTGAGATGCATTGTCTTTCTGTAGCTTTAGAGGAGCCAAGACTATGTGCTGATCGTTGTGCTGTGCGCTATTGCCTCGAGACCAGATATGCGAGGGCGTATCTTTGCGTCGTGTGTCTAAGTTGATGCGCTGGTGAAGAAGGAAGGTCGATATTGCTCCTTGTGGATTTGTCTCGTGGAGTGCTTTCAAGGCGTCAATGAGCGCACGGGTATATGACTTGTCCCCAGGACGTTCGGCCAATTGATCAACTGCGCACGCGCTGAGGAGCTCGAACTTCTTGTGGCCTTCTTTGCCGGACTTGGCAAAGTTGCTCGCATAGCAGGTGTCTAGAATGGTCAAGACATCGCTCTCTACATCCTCGCTGCGTAGCCGGTCCTCGGCTTTGGTCCAGTTTGCGCGGGCGTTCTTCCGGAATCCTCTGTCATGTAGCACAGAGTTGTCACTCGGGAGACTGCCCGAGAGCTCCAAGCACTTCCTCTCCTCGCTGTAATCGCCGTGCCCCGTGTAGTATACGATGAGCAGATTTTCTGGTCCGTCGTTGTCACGTATAAAGTTGATGACGGAGCTTTCGAGCTGATGTTGAGGTTTCGGATGGACGTCGAGCTCGACAATTTCGGATTTGTAGTGATAGCGGTCGCGGAAGAGGGCATCGAGTTCTCGGGCCTAGTCCTGGTCAGACGACGCGCGCCCAACGCGTTTTTGGAGCACAACATACCTCGTCTCCCGTCTTCAGGTCGTCCAGCGCATCCGCCCACTTGATGATCAAGACTGCAGCGCTGGAGTAGCCCTCAGGCAGGTCCATGTTCTTTGCGATAGCTTTTGACCAGCATTCCCGCATCTCAGCGCCCTTTACCTGGTATACGACATCTGCTACGCTCGGTTTGCTCTCCACCAGACGCTCGTCGCTCTGCGCAGGCGGGCCGCTCTGTCCCGCCTCGTCGTCAATCGATTGTATCCGTATGTCGGCATGGATGACTTTGTTCGGGTAGGGATTCGCAACGTGCGAGGTCACCTCAGTCGCCATGGCGTCCATGGCATGCGCCGTTGCGCTTGAAGAAAGAGCCATTGGGTGGGAGAGTTATGAGGCTGCGGGGCGCCAGGTTCGCGGCGACGGGCCATAATGAGGGCAATCGTTCGCAGCAGCTTTCAGCCCCCATATTGGATATTGGTGGGACATGCAACACGGCTGGACGAGTGCGGAGATGGCAGATGCAGCCACGCCCCGCCGCCAATCAGCGCACCGCCAACTTCATCACCAAGCGTTCCGGGTCAAGCTGAGCCTCCACCACCCCCAATTACAAAGAACCAGCCTGCTAGGACTTGTAGCAAAGAGTTGCAGAGCTCTTAGCTTAAAAAGGTTGCATTAATCTAGATTTAATAGAAGTCCTATTAAATAACTAGTAATTTCTCTCCTCTTAGATTTTTATAAAGATTTTATTATAAGCTTTTAGCTAGTCTTTAGTAGATATTTTTTATAGTTTACTCTAGTATACTAGCTTTAGTAAAGAGTTATATTTTAAAGTACTTTTTAGAAAAGCTATACACTTTTTATAAAAAGCGTAGACGCATATAAAAGAGTAGGCTAGATTTTAGAGTATATATTTAGGCTTTACTAAAGTACTTATACGTAAAAGTAGTATTTTTTTATAGTTCTAGTAGTTATTATAGTATTTACTTTAATTTATTAGCTAGTAATAATAAAGTAGAGAAAAAGCTTACTTTATAGTTTTTACCTATATATAGCTAGGCAGGCTAAAAAGTAAGTATAATAGTAGTAATTAGAGATTTAAAGAAAGTAGATATATTAGCTTATAGTAGTGTATTTAAGATAGTATAGAATAGAATAGAAAAAGTAGTAATTAAGCTTTTTTAAGTATAAGATAAAGCTATATCTCTACTAGTAAGCGTTAGTAAAATTTGTATTTAACTAATAGGTAGTAAGTTATATAATCTGTATAAACTATAGAAAGGTTAAGCTTCGAGCGATTGGCTGCCTGCATTTACCGCTTATGGTCAGAGGTCTGGTGCGATGACATGAGCTCATCACTACTGTACACGCAGAGTGCACAGTCATGCGACATGCAATCATCTGCATGCAACATTGCTAAGCCGCGGCTGTGCAGGCAATATGGGCCCCCAACCACGATCTGTACCGGTCACAACCCTCTGTTGCCTGGGGCTGCAGTAGGCAAACTGTCAAGAGGCCAGCAACAAGGACTTCTATAATAGCAGACGCTGCTACCATACTTCAGGGCATCATCCACAAGGCTCCCTGCCTCACTTCTCCATAAACTCAATCATAATGGCTACCACATTCGATGAACAGCCTCTTCAGGCAGTCGAGGTTAGATCCTACGCTGAGTGGTGCCCACTCCACGGCTGACAGTTAGCCACAGGACGAATACATGAACGCCGCACCAGAAGAAGCAGCTCCACAGACCAAAGCCACTGTTCATAATGATCCGAACTTTGTTGAAGTAAGTCTTTTTTTACGGGTTTAGGCAGTACGCTCTGACTCTGTCTCAGCCAGCCGCGCGCTTCAGCAAGGGCGAAGTCGTTCGGAAACCCGTCATCGCGAACGGTGAACGAACGACGGGCGTTTTTACCGTCTATGACCGCAAGTACAACCGTCCCAGGGGATACCATGAGTATCAGCTCCGGGACGTATATTCCCTGGAGATGGCGAGTGGCTGGACGCGCGAGAAGGATTTGAAGCCTCGCTAGCTGAGCTATGCTACATTGCCTGAGGCTGAGCTCACCGGTGTCACCAGGCAGCTGTGATTCAGATGCGCACAGCCAATTGTGCAAGGGGAGTTCAAGGCGTTGGGGCTGAGTCTTACGGATACGGCGATCGCACCCCCTCAACTTTATTCCTGCAATACTACATACACTGCTTTCGAGCCACAGTTCATTGAGCCACAGACGGCTCACTCTTTATGTTTACCTGAGCGATTATTGCTGGCGTTCGAAAGCTTTCGTCTTCTTCTTTTCGCTTCTTCGCTTGTGTGCGGGCCGCGCCTTCCTTCTTGCATCACCATGGCCCCTCTTCGTACCATGACCGGCGATACTTTCACCGATGAGAAGACACCTCAATCGCCAGTATCGCCAGTATCGCCCACAAATACCGACGCGACCTTAACGGGGGACTTCATTGAGAGTGCTGAAGACAGTCAATCTACCATTCAGCCCTCGGTGCGGGCAGACTCAATTGATGTTGAGAGTGCACAGCCTGGTATGCGATCCCACAAGATCCTTTTTGGCCCCCAAAATTTACTGGCCCCGCCATCTATGGGGGCCAAAAAGGTCAGGTCAGCTACACAAAGCTCCTGCCTGAAGGAGTTTGCCACCGTCAGCTTACGCGTGCACGATATGGCCATGAGATACCAGACCAAATCGACTGCATCGGAAGTTAGGGTCTTGGGGCGAATGATCGAGGACTAACAAACCCCAGAGAACGAGAGAAAGCGACCAAACTTCTTGCGACGTATTACAGTCCCTTTCCGCTCCGAGCCTGAGGATGAGTATGTGACTGAGAACGTCACGCGAACTTGTGAGTCACTGTCAAAAGCGCGTCCGACTAGACACTTATGAGAATCAGTGGAAAAAACACCCAATGGCTTCCCAAAACTTGCAGCATTCCAATCAAGTGAAGCGAACTTCTCCTTGTATCGCTCGTTTTCCTATCTCCATTCACGTGTCCTCCTTGATCTGCAGGATGAAATCACATCACTGGAGAAGGAGCTGGATGAAATAGACTGGGATGACTTTGATGAAGAGCCTGTACGTTTGCAATCGCGACAATTCGACACTAGCCAGCCTGATGGTGAGGGAGCGCCTCGCAGCCGACGAGTCATACTGCGGGAGATCAAAGCCAAGCTTATGGAGTATGGTATGTACATCTCATAGTACTTAAGCGTGGACGCAACTCCATGAACGATGGACTAACTATTGCATAGATGAGGTCCTCATCAAGGCCAGAACATTAGAATCCTTCCAGAAGCCATCGGACCGCAACTACCGTAGTGTACGACGCTACTGTAACAACAAGAAACCTCTCCTAGATGCTGAGATGGACGCGATCCGCAGCAAAGAAGACATCGTATCATTGCAGAATGGTCGTGAGTGGGCAAGCTTCGACGGCAGCGTGGAGACTCTGATTAGCCAAATCGATCGCTTCTTGCAAAAGGTCTTTGGTACCAAGAAACTCCCACTACAAGTAAGCAGAACAATGCCTGGGATGATGAGAAGTTATGTTAACGAGCGATCAGAAGTACTTCCGTACCCCAGAAGCTATGGAGAAGACGACAGACCCTTACGTCTCCCTATACAGCAGCTCTCGCATCGACAAAGTTGTCAATATGCTCATCACATTCGTCATATTCTGTCTCCTTGTCATCCCCGTCATTACCATGTACCAGTTGACCAACACTGCGGCACATGTGGTGACAGATGCTTCGGGCAACACGACCACCACCAGCCAAGTGGATATTGACAGCAGAGACACGTTCAATGCTGTCGGCGTGTTGATCGTATTCACACTGCTCTTCAGCGCTGCAATGAGTCTTCTGACAAAGGCGGCGAGACATGAACTGTTTGCGGCATCAGCAGCCTATTGCGCGATCTTGGTTGTGTTCATTGGCAATTTCACGGGGCCTGGCAATTGACGCCCGCTCTATCAACGATACTTACGAAATTATGATGATCATGATGACCCCTTGATATTTCATATTGCCGGTGCTTCTCAATCTCAAGCTACAACAAGGCTGCAGGCGACGGCGACTGCCGCCCAGTGAGGCGGCCTGTGGAAAGCCTCGGACTTTTTTAATCCGCCACGACCTTCGTATATTTATACGTGCAGGCAAGTCGGGGATTGGACTGTCCCGAGATCCCGCTGACCGGTATGCGAGGCTTGGCGTAATGCGAAACTACCCACATTCAGCCAGTAGGCTACTTAATCCTAGCCCTTTACCACACCAAGCACATATTATTGGCACCCCTGCTGCTAGCAGACACGCATCTGAACGCCATTAAGTGCGAATGTAAGGACTACAAGCGATGGGCAATCGACTATCCAATGCCTCTCACGTCAGATACCGCCCGGGCGTATCGCTTGGCACATATAGTTGGCTTCGCGTCGTTTACACGCAAGACATATTTGAAGTATCTATCCGCACCAAAATTGATACGATACCGGTTTATCCCCTTTCCACTCTTCTGTGAGGCACTCAGCCATAGATTTCATACTCTCAAACATGTCGTTTCTGTCAAGCTACTTCACTAGGCAGCGAGTCGCTCCGCCTCGCATACCCACGGATACCATCATACCCCTCCACAGCCGCGACGACACGCATCAAAACAGAAACGTTTCAGTCGAATTCACCATGTGTTTTGACGATGTTCTTGATGAGCGGAAGCTTGTCGAAGCATTGTGGAGGTTGCTGGAGAAACCAGGTTGGAGGAAGTTGGGAGCGAGACTACGCCTCAACACCAGCAACGATAAACTTGAATACCACATACCAGCACAGTACACCAAAGAACGCCCGCCAGTTAACTTCACCCATGGGGTTTATGACAGCAAGTTGAAGGACCATCCTCTTGGTTGCCAGATTCCTACTGCAAACGAGCGTAACGACAGTGTCCAGGTCTTCGGCGTTCTAGAGTCGCAACGTGGGGTTATAAGTGCGAAGGGCAATACTTCAGTCCTTGATGACTGGCTCTTTTCAGACGAGGCGCAGTTGGGCTTACATGTAGCGAGCTTCAAGGATGCGACGCTTGTCACCCTGACTTGGCTACATACGCTTCTTGATGCGATGGGACGACAAACTCTACTAAGAGCCTGGACGGCAGTGCTGGAAGGAAGAGACGAAGATGTACCGGAGTTCTGGGGTTACGATTTCGACCCCTTGACGCGGCTTGGAGCTTCTCTCGATGAGGACAACCAGGGTGCAGAGGGTTGGAGTGCCGGCACTACGCAAGTGCAAGAGAAAGCGCAATCTCAGATCTGGATGGTGATGTCAAACTTCAAGACCTGGCTTCCAAGCTTGCTAGACCCCAGAGCGACGCTCGCATACCTCCACTCTCGGTTCTTTAGACCGACAACAACGCAGAACGGCCGTATGCTCTACATGCCCGCAGCCTACCTGGCTCGCTTGCGAACTGAAGCAATGCACGATCTTGAATCTCTCGACGCCTCACAAATAACCTACAATACCTCAACGTCTTCCGCACCAAAGCCCTTCCTCTCGGACGGCGACATCTTCTCAGCATGGTTAATCCGCCATCTCGTTTCCTCCGACACCTCTCTGCTCAACTCACCCCCTGCTCGACCCGTCATAATCCTCAATGTCTTGGGCATGCGAGACGTACTGTCCACCTCATCATCCAAATACGAGGTCTTGATTCCAAAAGGAAAAGCATATGTTGCAAACTGCACAGGTGGAATCGTTTCGGCGTTCAGTGTACAGCAGTTTGTCGGTATGCCGTTGGGTCACATTGCGGCTCGAATTCGCAAAGATCTTGTTGAGCAGGCGAATAGAGAGGCGGTGGAAGCTTCGCAGCGTGCCAGCCGCAACGGACAGCAAAACCTTACGCCTCCATCGGATCCGCAGATGGGGCCGGCAGCCTACGTGTTCTCAAACTGGGCAAAGGCAACGTTGTTTGATACAGATTTCAGCGCTGCTGTCGTTTCTGATGATAGTGATGAGGGTGGGTTGACTAGTAGGCCGACCAGAGGAAAGCCTATGTATATCAGTGTTAACGGTCACGATAGACGGGTGGACGGTTGGGGTAAAAGCTCAGGGGGCATTGGTATGTGTGTTGGTAAGGATGCTAGGGGTGGGTATTGGCTTGGAGCAATCACCCCAGCAAAGGAGTTTGCGGAGAGTTTTGAGAAGGCTGTGTTGAGCGATTCCTAGGCCAGTGGGTGGCTCCCCGAGATGTATAGCGTCATCTACCTTATGCCACTGACTGACAAGATGCGGGGAAGGCATGTGCTATCTCATCGAGACAAGCTCTTTCGAGCCACACCTATCAAACCACTCTGGCACAGTGTCTTGATCTTGATTTTCGGAACAATATTTTTAATTATAGCCCTGGTGTTCGCGAAATGCGGCCACTGCTGACTGACATTCATCTGATACAAGCAGCGAGGCTAGAGTGGGAATATTACATATGTACCGCTAGAGTTAAAAAGTGATGAGCGGCGCTTCGCGGATTACACCTGTTACATTTTCTTCTGGCGCGTATACCCCCAGCGCGCTCGATTTTTAGCATGGCAATCTAAAATATTAACGATCTCGCGATGTCTGCCTCTCTTCTGCTACTTCTACCAACTAGTATGTCGCTCCTGCTTCGCGCACTGCAGTGGCTACAACCAACTCCAGCGCGCTTGCCTCCAGCGCGCTTGCCTCCAGCGCGCTCGCTCTTCCCCAGAAAGACGGCTTACACCCGCCGCCTAGCTACGTCAAGCTCGCTCCTGCTATGCTTGCCAGGTGGAGAAGCAACCTCTCGTCAACACTATTCGTCCCTCCTTACCTCTGTCGAACGCCCTCGCGCCGCTACATTACCCTGTAGTATCCCCTCACTTGCAGCATCGCCTCGGTGTGGGTACATAGCATCAACGCTCAGGCTGCCAAAGGTCTACGCGCCGCCATACTCCCCTTAGGAGTGTCTACTGTGGCCAAACAAAAGATTTAACATGACCCATACAAGCAAAAGAGCATAGACGGTTACATCTCGCGCACCGCCCGGCCCAGTCTTAGCAAGACTACACCAAAGAGCAAGGAAGTCGCCCAACCACCTAAGCCCACCAAGACTCAGCGGAAACGTCAACGAGAAGACGACGACGACGACACGGATGCGGCGCGGCCCCCCGCACAGGACACCAGGCTTCCGAGAAGTGCCAAAAAGCGACTAGATGCAGGGTCAACCAGTCGACACGCAGATGAAGATGATGCCAGCCTGCACGAGTCCTACATAGCAGGAGCAACAGACGATGACACAGGTAGTGTTTTTGAGTCAGAGAACTACAGCGATCCCGAGGGCGACGAAGAGGATATGTTCCTGAGTTCAGACGACAACGAGGATGAGGCCAGCCAACCTGAGGACGAGGCCGACCAGCCTGATGAAGACAACGAGGACGATGCCGACCAGCCTGACGAAGACAACGAGGAAGAGGCCGACCAGCCCGACGAAGACAACGAGGACGAGGACAGCCAGTTTGACGATGCCGACCAGACCGACAACGATGCCGACATCCACCATGCGGACGATGATGACATGAAGGAGACACAGTACTCCCTTAACATTCCACTGCGCGACAAGGACCTTTTCAACATTGATGTTACCTCCACTGAGGTTACATCTATGGTGGGAAAAGTGTTACCTGCGCTGTCATCAAGAAAGATGAAGAATTTCTACAGAACTATCGCCGGCCATCTTGAGAAGTCTCCTCCATTTAGGATCCCGGCGCGCTCTCGACACCCCACAACCTGTTCGTTAGTCAACCCTGACTTCGATTTACTATGGAAGCACTCAGTCGACGGCGAGCGGGCTCTAGACCTCGGTGACCCAAGTCTGTTACCCAAATGGCTCAACATGTCAGAAGACGGTCTTGTAAAGCCAATTGACTCGTTCACCGACACGCTACTACTGATCTCCAGCTACCCAACAGCATCGGAGGAAGGCAGCGTGCACAACCGCTATGGTACCGTGGATGATATGAGTAATGTTTGTATGTGGATGCTGTACGCCAAGTCTGGGTACCACATGGCGGACCTACGATCACACGGTGTAACGCGCATAGACATTATGGCTCGACGCCTCGACCGGAATCTGATACCAGGATCTGATGGAGACAAGCTCTTTCGAATTACACCATTAAACCAGTCTGGCACAGTGTCGTATGCTGGTATTGATGAAGTACAATGAATTATTCAAGATTGTTTAGGTAGAGCGGGATATGTGTAGCTACTTTCCAACTAGATTAGATCCAAGGACGTTCACAACAAGTAGGGCTGATGCGTGATCATCTAGACGATCGGATAAATTTCAGATTTGAAATTCTGTAGTCTCCGCTTCACGCAACGAAATAAGAGGACCCTGGGGAAGACAGCTAACCTCTAATGCGCTGGATAAAGGTTCTGTTGCAATTGCCCTGTGCCACTTATTGAGAAGATGCCAGAGAAGATAGCTAACCTCGGATGCGCTGGATAAGAGTTCTGTCGCAACTACCTCATGCCACTCACCGAGAAGGCGTGGGGAAGATGGTTGGCCATCGATGATGCGCTGGGTATGGGTTCTTTCGTGACTGCCTCATGCCACTCACCCAGGAGACGCGGGGAAGATGGTTGGCCATGATGCGCTGGATGTGGGTCCTCTAGCAACTGCCTCATGCCTCTCGCGACTGCCTCATTCTACTCGCTTCTGGCACACAGCACTCGGGTTATCTAATCTTCAAATCTCTCGTGCTTTACGCGTTTTAATCTGTCCTTTACGTTTTCAATCTGTCCCCTACGTGTGCCAGTAAACGCATTGCATTCCCCAAGACCTCGATTACCATGCCGCCACCGCGCTCATCCAACAAAGAAAACTCCCCACCTGCGAAGAGACCCAAGAAGACACTGCTGTCGGCAGCAGCCTCAAGAGCTCGCAACGCGCCTTTGACTGGAGCACTGTCGGAATTACCGTTCCAACTACCTGAACCGCCACCAGGACACCAGACAGCGCGGACTCGATCATCAACAACGAAAGCAAAACGACCCCCTGCGTTTACGGTATTCACCGACAACACCGGAGCGACAGAGCAAATACTAGACGACGCGGATCCCACAACTAGCATCATTGACGAATGCACAGTACCTGACATCGTTGACCGATGCTCCCTAACAGATAACGACCTGTTCAGTGAGCTAACCGCCGACGAAATCCGCAGTTTGGTAGAACGATTGTTGCCAGACCTCCAAGAAGATGGTAAGCTCTACTCTACAGCACGTAAGGCGCATATGTACTAACTTTACCAGGAGTTCAAGAGTTCCTTGCGACCGTCTATGACCACGCATGCACATCGCCGCCTTTCGTTATACCCCGCCGAGAGCGAGATCCGTCCACCTGGCCGCTTACGTATCCGGACATGGACTTCGCATGGGGACAGGCAGTGGAAGGCGAACATGCTATTGAGCTCCCGGACACAATGGACAATTGGATTGACATGAGCGAGAGCAATTTGGGTAAGTTGTCAACGTGAAGTACGTTGGATAGCCTCCAAGCTAATTACGCTCACGCAGTTAAACCTACTGGAAGCCTCCGCGATACCCTTCTCATTGTCAGCTCATACCCCACTGCCAAGGAGGATAGCACAGTTCATCGATCGTATGGTACCACCCTAGACATTTCAAACGAGTCCATGTTTATGCTCTACGCCAAGCTTGGCCACAACGTATCCTCGATCAGAAACCACGGCGCTCTCCACTTGGACGTGTTCCCCAGGCGAGTTGACCGCAACATTGCACTTGGTCTCGGGAATATCGTCGACCAGGTTCCGACCAATCTCGGCATGTATTGGAGACTCGTGGTTCGTCAGCTCATTGAGTCATCGCATTCCAAACTGGCTCTCCTCGTCGGGCCCGCAGGTGTTGCCACGTACGTCGACTATCTCAAACAAAACAACATCCGCTATCAAATATTTGGCTATCGAACAAAAGCGTGCAAGGCTACTAGAAAGAGAATCATCATGGAGTAGAACAGGTTGCAGATGGAGAGAGAAGCGCAAAAGAAGAGTGAAGGTGAGGCTCCAAAACGGCGAAAGCATGGCAGAATGCCGAAGAGCCTACAGTAAGCTACATACGTTGTACCTAGGACTGCGACGAGTATCTATTCCCAAGTGCCTCTACTATCAACTAAGGTTGTTTGATCCATAAGGTGTGTCACGCGGCAGCATTTAGAGAGAGGTAAAGAGGTAGCAGAAAATCCGGCTGCGGTCTGATGATACAGCTGTCTGGCGCCTACGTATTCTTGTAGCATAGCACATTGGCTGTATTTTGGCACGTGTATTCTGCAAACTACAATTTCGGCGCCCTCACTTGAAGCACTTCATCAGAACAATCGCCATTTCGTGTTGCTGCACTTTGTGATTCGGTGGTCTCTTATGTCGCGGAAAACGTAGAGCAGGGTCTAGAGAGACGCGTCGAAGTGTTCAGACGGCAGCTTGTTGGTAAGGGTTTCTCCCACGTGTTGCACTTACCAGTCACATTTCTCTTCATATAACAGTGCAGTCGTGTTACGCGCATACAACCTTGAGCGGGATCTTCTTTCTTTTCCATAGAGCTCAATACAACTTCGCATACCTGGGCAACAGTTCCCTGACCGCGCTCTGTTGCTCTGCTCTGCATCAATATCTCACCGTAATACGTAGGTACCTTTAAGATGAAGTAATTATCAGCCAGTTCGTGTCATTTTGGAGCGCAATAGGTAGGTATAGTGAAACTCATTTGCGTGTAGAATCGAAATGTGTCTGACCTGCGCGAGCAGCCGCATCCCGCTGAAGCTCCCTAAGTTCGCCAACGAGAATATAGACAACGTTCCTTCCCCGCCCAAGTTTGTCGCTCCCGTGCGCCCTCTTACACCCCCACTCCCGCTATTGCGACCCTCTCTGCCCTTCACACCTCCTCCGCCTTCGCCTCCACTTTCGCTGTCATCAACCTTGACCAAGCTTTTTCTTGTTCTACAAGTTGAAGATGCAGACCCCAAAGAGCAAGGGAAAGGCCCTGAAGCGGAGGAAATAACGAAAAAGGGAGGAGTGAGTAAGTTTTGAAATCGCGAGATATACTGTAGAGGGTAGGCCTGTAATCACAATCGAAGGATACACGGGTTGAACACAAGAAGTGGGACTTGGGAGGATTACATCAAAGTTGCCGTGTGATGGTGATGTCTTCTCATCGGGCTCGGCACGATGCGTGGGCGGGAGATCCGCTAGCGGCGCACTGCTGATTGGTTTCATGCAGGTCCGCTTCAACCCCAGAAATAACTCCCCAAGCCGCGCATCGTGAGCGCCGCTGCCACCAAAGTGTTGCGCCCGTGCTGCTGGCGAGCGCTTCCGATAGTCTTCTAATTCTGCAGTATGTAGAGCGTGAGCACGTCTATTATACCAAGGCTCGAAACCTCCGGCACCATGGACACGATCGCAGTGGCCCCCAAGGCGTCGGCGCTGGCGTCGCCCAAGATTGTTAAGAATGCAAAGGGCAACATTGTGCCGAGCAGCCAGATGGCGCATATCGCGTATGGATGCGGTAAGCGCTCTGCCATTCAGACTGTCAGAGGAGGCTGTTAACACATGGCAGAGCACATGGGCGAGATGTTCGAGAAGGCGCGCAAGCAGACGCTCCAGCACTACCGAGCCATCCTCCAGAATATCCACGAGAAACCGAGTATAATAGCCCAGACGTACACTGCGCCGGCGGATGCGCGCAACGTTGTGTCGCTGAGGCCGCTGTACCTGTGCCTGCAGTGCCCGAGCATCATGACCGAGGTGGATCGCGATTTGCACTTCGAGACCAAGTCGCACTGTTTTTGTGGGTTCGGACGATGCCGTATACTTGCGAAGGCTAACAGGAAGCAGCTGTCGAGTCACGAGACGGCAACATATACTGTGGCAATTGCCAGGACTTCATCTACGACGAGACGTTGGACGTGCTGAGAGTACAGAAGGGTGTGTGGCGGCATGCTCATGCTCCAAGACATCAGATTGGCTGACTACAACACAGGCAAGAAGCGAAAGTACGAAGATAATACCACGACCGAAGACCACAAGCTCGTAATCAGCAACTCGACCTTCCTCCCCTGCCGCGCGATAGGCCTGCGTGGGCTCTATAATATGGGCCAGACATGCTTCATGAGCGTCATCCTACAAACCCTCGTCCACAACCCGTTCATACGAAACTTCTATCTTTCCGAAGGTCATAAGCAGACAGAGTGCGAGAGGGACTCATGTGTGAGCTGTGCGCTGGACGAGATGTTTGTCGAATTCCACTCAGCTGAGAAGACGGAGGGCTTTGGCGCTGTCAGCATGCTCATGGGCAGCTGGCTGGCAGGAGAGGCTCTCGCGGGATACCAGCAGCAGGATGCGCACGAGTACATGCAGTTCATACTCAACACGCTGCACCAGGCGAACGGCGGATCGACAGACGACTCGGAGGATTGCAAGTGCGTGGTACACCAGGCATTCTGCGGGAAGCTCTCAAGTACGGTGACATGCGACAATTGCCGCAATGTGACCACGGCGCAAGACCCGTATATGGACCTTAGTTTGGACGTACGGATACAAGGCAAGAAACGGAAGATCAAGGAGGAAAAGGGTGAAGAAACACCTCTGGATTTGAGGGACTGTCTCGAACGCTTCACGGTAAAAGAGAAGCTGGGCTCAGCAGAGTACACATGTCGAAATTGCGACAGTCCGCAGAATGCGACCAAGCAGCTGAGCATCAAGAGGTTACCACCGGTTCTCTCCATTCACCTCAAGGTAAGTACCAAGACCCGTCCGCAGCGTCCCTGTACTGACAATTACTCAGCGCTTCGAGCACACAAAATCCACGTCCTCCAAGATCGAAACCCCCGTTCGCTTCCCTGTCAAACTAGACATATATCCCTACACGACCTCCCACAAAGCCGCCATGCGCGCCGTGAAGACCTCCGGCGCACCGCTCTCGAACCACAACGTCAACAGCCCAGCGAACGCCCTCGTATACGAACTGAGCAGTGTCATCGTGCACAAAGGCAAAATCGACTCTGGACACTACGTCAGTTACAGCAGGGAGGGTAATGACTGGTTCATGTTCGACGACAGCAAGGTAGTGCTGGTCAGCGAGGCAGAGGTCCTTGCTGCAGAGGCCTATTTGCTATTTTACATGGTTGGCGGACTAGAGGTATAAGAGTCT